ACAGCCAAAAGAAGAAGAAGAAGAAGAAGAATTGAATTTCAGGTTTGCTATTTCCCAACTCTAGATAGCTTTTGTAGATGTAATACTTTTTTCACCTACAATGTGAATGTTTCAGTGATATATTCAATGTGGACAAGAACAAGATGCTGCAGTTTTTGTGTTATTATTTAAAAACGTGTTTATTCATAACTGTAAGCTTATCAGTTTATGTAGTCCTTTTTGAGGTACTTCTCACAGATTTTTACAGTTACATGTCAGCTCCATTCTAGGAAATTATAGGAAAGTAAAAGCTCCATACAGACAGTTTGTGTCCAGGGTGTGAGGCGTTTGCAGAAATCTACTCTGCCCTCCTTTGATCCATGAGGTGTACCGATCCGGAATCCTTGAGGTCTGAAACTTGTAGAAAAGTGGTTTTCTAAAGTTGCATAATGTAGTTGTGGGCTTAGCAGTCTTTTGGTCATCCAGTCAGATGTTAGGTCTCATAACTTTTGCTAGGAAGGTCCTAGGGAGCTTGGACTTGGTGCCTTGGAGTCAGGGTGAGGCACCAATGGTTATTTCTGCAGTCCTGACTGTTCACTGGAGTCTGTTCCTGTCCTGTTTGTTTGCTGAACCAAACCAGACAGTGATGGATGAGCAGAGAACAGACTCGATGATTCCTCTGTAGAACTGTATCAGCAGCTCCTGGGGCAGGTTGAACTTCCTGAGCTGGTGCAGGAAGTACATCCTCTGCTGTGCCTTTTTGGTAATGGCGCTGATGTTGCTTGTCCACTTTAAGTCCCAAGAGATAACGGAACCCAGGAACTTGTAGGACTCCACTACTGAAACAGTGCTACTGAGTATAGTAGGCGGAGACAGAGTGGTGGAACTTCTCCACGGTTTTGAGCGTGTTCAGCTCCAGGTTGCTGTGACCACACCACAGGACCAGCTGTTCAACCTCCCGTCTGTAGGCTGACTCGTCACTGTCTTGAATGAGACCAATGACCATTGTATCATCTGCAAACGTCAGGACTTTTACAGAAGGGTCTCCTGAGGTGTAGTCATTGGTATAGAGGGAGAACAACAGAGGGGAGAGTACACATCCTTGGGGGGTGTCTGTGCCAGATGTGATTTTCCCCAACCTCACCTGCTGCTTCTTGTCTGTCAGAAAGTTACTAATCCACTGACAGGTGGGGGCAGGCACAGTGAGCTGGGTCAGTTTAGAGCAGAGGACGTCTGGGATGATGATGCTGAAGTCCACAAAGAGGACCCCAGCATAGGTCCCTGGTGTGTCAAAATGTAATGCAGTGCCATGTTAACTGCATTGTCTACTGACCTGTTTGCCCAGTATGCAAACTACAGGGGGTCCAGCAGGGGTTCTACGATGTCCTTCAGGTGGGCCAACACCAGTTTCTCAAAGAACTTCATAACTACAGATGTCAGGGCGACAGGTCTGTAGTCATTCAATTCCCTGATGTAGTTTCTTGGGAACTGGAATGATGGTGGAGCGTTTAAAGCAGGAGGGGACTTTACACAGTTCCAGTGACCTGTTGATCTGTGTAAAAATGGGAGCCAACTGGTCGGCACAGACTTTCAGACAGGATGGGGTCACATTGTCTGGGCCTGGTGCCTTTATGAGCTAGATGTCACAGTGTCAGTATACTCATCCAGGTTTGTAGCTGCAGCCTCAAATATTCTCCAGTCTGTACAGTATTCAGAGAGGTTGGTCTAAACCCTGGTGAGAAATTCTGTTGTATAAGCCCCCCCCCCCCTCCCGCACACACACACACACACGCACACACACACACAAAAAAATCCCACTTTAAGTGTGAACTGACCTTTTGTACTATGTTCTAACATTACATGTGTGGTATAATATATGCTTTAACCTCTCAGCGTACAGTCAGTCCTGTCTGGCAGCAGAAGTGTGTGCAGTCCTTTAACAGCTCACCCCCTGGTGCTGAACTGGATGCCTGTCTGTGGTCGCTGACTGAAGTCTTAAAGAGACTTCTTAAAGGAGCTTATCGAGGTAAAACAAGTTGGTTTTGTGCAGTCACTGTGAGTACTGTGTTGTTCTTTTAGATTGGATCTGAGTGATGGTCAAACTGTGCTGATGTATGAACCCATAACAAGCTCGTTGGTCCCAGTTCAAAATCCATATATATTCAGTTTACACTGGTTTAAAAAACAGAGACAGGCGCCAAATCCTCACACTTATTAAGCTTCACATAGAGAATAGTTTGTGTTGGTGGTTGAATGAAATTACTTAAAACATGAATACATTAGTAAAATTGTAGTATGCTCTATTCTTTGTGCTGTAATGTAATTCATGTAAAATACCAACATGAAGGCCAGAATAGAGAGCAACCCAGATTTGCTTACGCTGTGTTGCTGTGTCTAATCTCTCATTTTGTATGTTTGTATTTTCCTCCATCAGAGATCCTTGAAAAACTTCTAGAAGCTTTTGACTCCAGCCTAAGTGCTTTATGTTCAAAGTTTCTCCCTGAAGGGAGAAAAAAGGCAGCACATCCTTTAGTGGATTTTATCAGCAGCAGACACTGGGGAACAACATTCTACCTCCTGCTGGACCTGCTAGAGGTGCTGACTGCATCCAGTTTGACATGTGGTGCTGGTGTTTGTCTCAGGAGCCAGAGAATAACCCACATTCATTCCTCAGCACTCCTGACAGCAGTCAGCCTCTCCTCAGACGGTTTTGTCAAAAAGCGAGCACTGCTGCTTCTGAAGAAAGCGCTGCTTCAAAAGGCTGGAGAGGATTGGGCTTTAGAAGAAGTGCTGTCCCCTGGCCTGAAATATGAGCACTTCAACTCTGATATGACCACACTGGCTCAGACTGTGTTAACAGCAGTGGCTGCTAATTGGTTACAGGGTGTTCACGTGGGGTCTGCCTCTTTCTTTGGAGGGACAAGACGCATCCAAGGTGATAAAAGTCAGAAATCAGATTCTGTGATGCTGAGAACTGTCAGCCTCCTTCTTCTCAAGTCCATGGTGCTTCACATCCAAACAGCTGGTGGAACGGGTAAGAATCTCTGAGGAAACACAACACTGGTTTACATACAGTTTATACTGTTTATATTGTTAATTGCTGGGGTAATGTCACATGAAATCACTTTGAAGGAATTGGTGCTTTTAAACAGTGTGTTTGATATGAAACTTAAAGGATGAACAAAGGATGAACCATAAGACAGAACATTAACCCAGAGTCAAGTGTTTGTCATAGGCACAGTAGGGAAACATACAAAATATGTTCCCTGTACAATGAAATTCTTCCTTTGCTGTCCACAATGATGCCAAACAATATAAAGTCTAAATACAAAACAGATAAATAATAGCACAAAATAAAGGCAAATTTAAAACAGCATGTACTACGCATGTAAAACAGTCTGTTCTGACATGTTAAATGCAAACAGTGTTGCTGACAAACATATCGGGTGTTTTTAACAGACTGGAGGATGATTTGAGCTTCGCTGTGTTCACTCAGACCAGGACCAGTGCACACACTTCTGCTTTAGGCAAAAACCACCTCTGCCACCCTCCATTCATAACAGCACACAAACACCAACATGGTTTACACATAACGCAAATAGTCCAGTGCTACTAGTGTGCTCAGTGTCAGCAGTAATAATTCAGCCTATGCATGATGCAGTATGTGTACAAATAACACAAAACATTTTTGCATAATAACTCCAAAAATATGGGTTCCTCCTAGCCACTTGCCCCGTCCTCCGCAATACTCTATTTGCCCTTGCTGCATAGATGTGAATGCCTACTGTAACTGTATTTACTACAGTATGTCTGCCATGTCTATGAGTTGTGATTAAACTACTATTACTAATTTGAAATTCCTTTAGATACTGTGCGTCCAAGATGTAGTTCAGTTTTCTCTAAAATACAGTTAAATATAAAATAATATAAATACTTTGAAGCTGCTTACTGGGTATAGTGGTGGGGGAGTCCCCACCTGCCAAAATCCATATAAGGGGATCTACGCCACCAGACAGGGCACTCTCTTCAACACATTTACGTTAACACATTTCAGGATTTAATGACATTATAGATGCTGGCCATCCTGTCTTTCTGTTGGAGATATCTAATAATAATAATTAATGAAATTACCACCATGTATGGAGCGAAAACTGTGCAAATACTCTAGTGAGATACCACATCAGTATCCTGTATAATAGCTTAATAATGTACCTTTGTCGGTGGTGGAAAGTAATTAAGTACATTTACTCAAATACTGTACTTAAGTACAATTTTGAGGCATATGTACTTTTAGAGTTTTCACTTTTTTCTATGTGATACTTCAGCTTCACTACTTTTTATTCTACATTTAATTGATAGCGTTGGTTAAAGTCAGATTAATAATACAGCATACACTTGTAATCATAAGACTTTATTGATTTGTGAAGGAAAATTCACAAACTAACCAGCAGTATGTGAAGTACTTCTCTGCAATTTGTGCAGTAAGGAATTTTCGTACCATCAGAGTACTTCAAGCTTGAGATATCACCAGAATGCAAAGCATATAGCGGCGAATCCAAAGGTCTAAAATACTTTCACAGCAAAAATTGCTGTATGTGATTAATTTAGATTCCTTAATCACAGAGCATGTAATTAGATACATTTTTTAAATGCTTGACAGCCTTAGTAAATGAGTTTGACATCTCATTGACATACATTATGTTAGTGCTGACCCCAAGTAGCAAATAAATATATAAAGTTTTTTTTTAAGTAATTAAGATCTGTGTTCTTAAGTTTCTCTTTTCAAATGTTTGTGTTGTTAAATGCCAAATTACATACAGTTTTCAAGTTGCAGTTATAAATATGGTTGGCAAATCTGACTACATATGGAAAAAGAGAACAAGGACCCTGGCACAGCTACTTTTTCTTCAGATCAGCATTTTTGCCATTGTTTCTGTCCTATTTTGAAAATAGCAGAGGATGTGTAGTTTTCAGAACAAGATTCAATGGGATTCAGTACAGACATGGTAGGTAGCAGGAACACATCGTAGAACGAGCATTCTAAGTAATGTAGCAGAAGGAGAGTTCTTGTATCCAGTACTAGAGCATTCCCATTTTTGGGGTGGCAGTGGTTCAGTGGGTAGAGTAGTCGTTTCCCAAACTGGAGCCTCGGCGGTTCGAAGCTCAGTGCCTGCAGTCCACATGTTGACATGTCCTTGGGCAAGACACTGAACCCCCAAATTGCCCCCGATGGTTAGAGCCATCGGTTGAGTTGGCGCCACAGATAGCTTCCTCGGTTCTGTACCGGAAACAAATTCCTTGTGTGTAACATCCTCCGGTATTGGGACAGAAGGAGGCAATTCCGTAAGAGTTGAGTGGCAATGACTGTGCTGATATCTACACTGTGTTCTCTCACAGAAGGAGTGGACAGTGCCGTTCATGGGTATCTGCAGAGTCTGTGGGCCTTTCTGAGGCGGTGCAGTGTCCAGCTGACAGAGGTCACTCACCTCTGCTGCTGGATCAGCCTGGTGTTTGGAGAACAGGATGATGACATGATGGAGGCAGCCAAAGCCTTGCTCTCCATATTCCTTCACCACAGGTACAACAAACACCAATGTGGAATTTATTTTCATTATTATCTCTTGCAAACAAAGTTAACAGGACAAAGTGTTTGACTTATATGGATTTCTTTAAAGATCCCCTTCAGACATGTTATAACACATGAAAATATGTTAACATATTAATATGTGTGATATGGGTTGTCTTTCTCCACATGGAATTATTTATTTTTTTTAAATTATGTTTACTTTTCCTCCTCACATTGAGTATGTTTACATACACTTAGGTTATAGGGAAAAACAATCTATGAATATGCAAATAGTGCTCATGTCAAAGGTTTAACTGCTGAAAAGCACGGCTCCTGCTTCACTGAAAAGGTCATTCTTAGTGTATGTGTGGTGGCAGTTTGAGGGTTCCACGTTATTCTTCTGTAAGGTGCATATTGGACCAAAATTGGCTTACAAACTTAAGATGTCACAAATCATGCTTATATGTATATATTTGTTGTGGCCATTAAAATTTAGATCCTCATCAATGGTTACACCAAGATTCCTGGTATTTAAAATCTGTTTTGGTGGTGGACAGAAGCAAATTTACAAAAACTGTGTCCCTGTCCAGTCAATTCAAATGGCCACAGAGGGATTCCATTCATGTTCTAAAGGATGCAGGATCCACCCGACCTCACTTTGGTGTGCCACAGCAAAGGGAATACTGAACACCTTTGTAAAAGAGAGAAAATTCAGTTTTTGACCTAATTTGCAAACAAAATCATGTTCTCACTTTATTATGAGTTAATGAATTTTGAAGTGCTAATGGCAGTTTTAGTCTACAAGAAGTCCAAGTCTACAACACAAAAATGAAGGGGTCTGAATACTTTCAGAAGCCATTGTAACTGATTTTTTAAGATTTTTGATTGATGTTTTCAGTTTCTTTAATTTGGTAAGGCAGACACCCTTTACATATTTTTCTGTGAAATAATACATTTCAGAGTTAAGTAATTAGTGCTGTCATATCACACACTCCCATGTCTCCTCCTGTCTCCCAGACTGCTTCAGTGTTTGTCCTTCTAATCTACCCTTAATTCCCTCTTCCTCCTCCCTTCTGTCTCCCCTTCGTCTTCCCTTTCACTCTCAATCTCTGGTGCCAGTATTCCCTACCCAGTCTAACCCTCCCTCCTCCCTTGTCTTTTTTTTTTCTTCCTCCTCTTCATGCCTTTCTCCACCTGCACTTTTGCCTCTCTCCTTTGCATTCTTCCCATTTTATTCCTCTACCCTGCCTGTCTTTTCTTGATTTTCTCATAATCTCTTCCTTCTCCCTTGATCTCTCTCAGTCTGTGATAGTCAAGAGCGTGGAAAGGAATGCAGTGAACATGTATGAAGCCCGAAAATTCCTCCTGGGTCTGGAAAACAACGGGGTGTCGTCATCCTCTTCCTCTGTGGTGTTGAATCCTACCACCAACGGCCCATCCCCATCCCTCATCTGCCCCGTTGGCTTGGACATCCTGGCCTCAGCTGGCCTGGGGCTGCGCAATCTGGGTAATGACACAGTTGAACTTGTTAATCTTTTACGTTTCCCATGATTGGGAAAAACACAATTTGGTGAGGAAAATAAGATCCTATCATTTTTTTTTTTTGTCTTACATGTGAAGCATTTCAGATTGAAAGTGTTTGTAGAGGAACTAATGTCCTCGTTCATCACTGTCATTTCCATCTGGACCATTCGCTCCAGGCAACACACTTAATGCAGATATCTCTGAAGATGTCCTCAAAGCCTGCTTTCCTCTGAATCAGTCACATGTTCAGTGAA